GCTTAGAATCCGCGATTACAAAATTACAAAATATGTGGGAAGAAAACTGACTTAAGATATAAAAAGATCGCAAGAAAATGTAGTACATTTTAAATAATACTCATAAAAATTTCGGAGGTAAGAACACAGCACAACAGCGAATTTGGTTTTGTGCGAGAGGTCAAAGTACACAACCCGAACACATTCCGATTAATTCCGATTTAATATGTGTTGCCACTTGCCGCTCGAATATTTTCTATTTTGGCTCAATCGGAGATATAAATATTGCATTAATTTTGTGCCTTTTGTTGACAACAAATCAGGTATTTATTCAAATTTTATGTCGCTTACAACTGCTAAACAATGCAGAAACTAGTTTTTGTTTGTTACAAGCTGATTGTAACTGTTAACAGTCAACATTTTCTGGCCTATATAGTAGAAAGCTGATCACAGCATATTTCGGACAAATTATATTTTGGATAATTTCGATTCTCATTGCCATTGTTTTTTTTACTTGTCGGATATAAAGTATATTTACTACAGTATTTGACTAACTGCATGATATTTCGACCACTTAGAGGCGTATTTAATTTACCTATATATTGGGCAATATTGCTGATATGTTTCTGCAATTATTCTGGCTAAATTTTTTTGTAACCTATCAGCTAGTGCATGCAGTTTGATTTTATGTATCTTGTCTAATAAATTAAATATAGGAAAGTATATCGAAAACTCTTAGAGATGCTGGCGTTACGGAGAATACAATAACAACATTAAAAGATGAAGAGGTGAGGCCCAATAATAAAATAAATAAAACTATAATCAAGTCCACTGGTTGAATGTTGACCTGTTTTTAATATATTTTTGGGAAATGTATGTTAGTCCAGCTCCTAGGAGTATTATCATAATAATAGTAACATTCAAAAAATGTTTGTATGTATGTTGGTTTCATAAATACAGTTATTATATACACACGTACCAGCCTATCATACTGATCATACCTAGTAATACTTGGAATCTTTAATTACTGAACTGGGAGTTCCACTTGGAACGTCCTCTGCGTGGAACACCTGGTGGTGGAACACCTGGCTATATTGCCATCTGTAAATTCAAAAATTGTAAAAACATAGAAAATAGGGTAATCGTTCCATGTTTCGCGCACCAATATAGTAAACGTTATGTAATGGATATTATAATGTGTTGAAAAGTTCACTAGATACCTCCATACACATATATACACAACCTAACCCTATCCCCAACCCTAAACCTAACCCCTAACCCTAACCCCTAACCCTAATACACTATCCCTAACCCTAACCTATATTGGTGCGCGAAACATGGAATGATAACCGAAAATAGTATGTGGGCCATATTGAAACGTCATTGCTACCATAGCAACGGTAATGACGTCATAGATTATAGATCATACCAGATGTCTCACTCAGCCAAAATTGTGTCCGCGATTTTTTATGAGCACGCGTTGGCCGCCATTTTGGAAGTAAGTGTAATCCACGCCATGAAACGTGAGCAATCACACATTTTGGCAGTAAGCGCCATTTTGGCAGTAAGTGTCGCACGCGTCATCTGGCGTGATAGCCTCGCGAAAATCGCGGACACGAAAATCATAGGGATAGATACACAGTGAGACATCTGGTATGATCTATAATCTATGATGACGTCATTTTGTGAACAATTTTCAACTCTTATAGGATTGCTCAATATATGTGGTACAATTTTTGTCTTCTAACAAGAAACCTCTCTTCAAAAACTTAACTCTAAAATATCATGATTTTGTCATATTTCAAAAATTGTAGGGAGCCATCTTAATTAATCTTTAATTCCTTTTCTGAAACTTTCACTTCTATTTTTGTTCACTTTCACATTTACAACATTGTTGTAGGGGATGGGTAGTGAAACTACCTGAAAAATAAAATATTTTAAAACTTCTTGTAGCAACATTAACATACTGTATATCCTTGATTATTGAACATGAAAAAGAATAATTAATTAATCTCTTCCAGTTATTTCAAGAAAGAGATCTGGAATTAGCAAGTATAGATTTATTGCGTGGAATTGGACTGAAAGGGGGTCAGATCCTGGCAATCAAAACAGCTTTCGAATTCCCAACCAATCTAGAGGTAATATAAATTATATTTTTAATCCAATTTAATTTTGTGAATTTTTAATTATGAATTTAAATCATTGGGCCTTGTCAGTTTGTAAGATTATCAACTCTATAAAACAAATAGCGTGCCTTTGTAAATAAATAAATGCCGGGATCTGTATATGTTGGATTTAAAACACACTCCCATGCAGATTATTAAAGTGGAAGTCAAGTCCGTTCTGTGCATAATAATGTGAGGTAAATTTCGAATGTTTCGAATTTTTCTGAACATAAACTCTATTTATATTCATTTAGAAGCATAGCGAACCAAAATGGTCTTATGTAGATATTCAGACAGTACATCATATTTTAAAAATTACAGCAGTACAAAATGTAAACAAACCGTTTGTTTACATTACAGACTTGACTTCCACTTTAAGCTTATTTTGTCGACTTAAATATTAAAATTAAATTTAGTATTGCTTATACATTTTTTAAAGAAACAACCTGAACCATCAAAGGCAAAGCATTATGGTGCACCTGCAATTCAGGTAAAAACATTTAATTATTTACCACAAAAGATTTGACTACATAATACTCTATAGATCTAACCACTTCAGCTACAGTATTTTTAATTGGGTCGTTCCAGAAAAGATCCATACTCCCCCAATGGAGGAAATTTCTGCCATCCGGAGGGGGAAGGGAGAAAAAATTGTTTCTGATAATAGTAAATGTTAGAAATGTGCAAATCCGATCTGAACCGTTTGATACTTTAATTGGACGTCACTTTGTCAGCTTCTTGACATGTATTTCTTGCTTTTATATTTATTTGGTTAAATATTTCAACTTGAATGAGAAATTATTTTATGAAAGAATTCTTCGGATCGGATTGGAATTTTTTATCGAAACTCAGATCGGATTAGACAATTTCGGATTGGATTTTAAACATTAGGCAATTGTCGGATTATAAACGTCCAATCCGATCCAATGCACAGTATTAGGACATCTGAAGGGTAACTTCCTATTTCCTCTGTGGGGGTGGCATGGATGTTTTCTGGAATGACCCATTTCAACATTCCAGTAAACACTGGCAGCACAATGTGCATGTAGCATACTATAAAAGTACGAATGTTAAATACATATTTTGATTAATTTTGAAATGATCTGAGTTTTAGCTTCAAATTGGTTGTAATCAGCATTTCTTGATCCATTTTAAAACAGGTTTCACCAGAAAGAAAAAAAGAATTAGCCAAACCATCATTTCACGTTTCTCCATATGTAGACAAAAAGAAAAAAGATTGGGTTCACACATTTAAATTACCAAGTAAAAGCACTGTAAGTACTTTTAGTTCTTTCAAATAAGGTAATCTGATTTTTATCGCCATTTCCCATTAAGTTCACTCCATATGATGAAAACATTGATTTTGTCCTTTTTTACATTTTTATCGATTTATATCGAGGGTCAAGAGATTTCCATTTCCGCAAATATTTTTTGAAAATATTAAAATGAAAGCGAGATATAACCGAAAATGTTATAGTCTAATCCCCGGGAAAGTTTTAATTGTGATTGACAGTTTGTGGATAAGTTTGACCACAGGGTGCATGTTACACATCTGAGGCGGTATTCAACATTGGGCGGCTTGTTTGTTTTAGATATAGCTATATCACTGTAATATTGTCGGTGCATGCGTACACAGCACAGTGAAATTTGCTTTCTAAGTAAAACGCCGGTTTAAAAAGTGATCAATCATACAGTATATATAACTATAAGACTAGTGCGCTTGCTTATCACCTTATCATTGATGCGGAGTCAAAATGAAACCCAGCCAAAACACACTTTAAAAGTCGAACCTGATTGGCTTCAGTTTGAAGTGATGACAGGGGACTGAGAAACATATAACAGAGAACGGAAAATCTCCGCGAAATCACTTTTTGTCTTTTACAGAGAAGGAATTATCAGCCCGGTTGTCTTCACAAAACGAGTTGTGGAACGGGCACGTTTCATTCAATTGCTACATGTACCAAACTTTACCACAATGTAGAACAACGTCAGAGGAGCAAAACCGTGTTCGCGTTTTTCTTTTAATGCTTTAGTTTTCAAATTATAGGCTTCTGTTCTATCGTTATTGCAAACTGATTTTTGATGAGTCAACTTATATGCTTTATATCTCGGCAAATATAATACCTGTCAAAAAACGCGAACACGGTTTTGTTCTTTGATCATTTAACATGGGAAATGTGATATTTCGGAAGCTCCTAAAGCTCGTCGCGCGAAGTGCGTCATATTTTCAAAAGCAGCTCGTAGCAACCATAGTAATACCATAAACCTCTGACTATAAGCCTATAAGCCCTGGGCTTATATTCTTTCGTAAGCAATTTTTGATGGGCT